GGCAGGACCCTAAACTTATCTAGCTGAGTGTTAAAAGCTTGTTGTATTAAATAATAAGAACTATTCCTAATTTCATTAAGCTAAAGTTGTTGTGTGTAATATGTAATATGAACTATTGCTATGTAAGTTGTTGTCTTAAACAATAAAAACTATTCCTATTCCTAATTTCATCAAGTGTTAAAAATTGTTTTTGTAAGTGTTAAGTTGTTGTAATATGGTTCCTCAACATCATAGTTAATACGTCTCTTAAACACTTTACCAGAAAAGTTCGGAGCCGCAGATGTGAAGTTGCATCAGGCGAACAAGTCTCATTTCCTCGTTCAATCAAACATGAAACATTCGAGCTTTTCCGCAGTCTTGTATTTCTAGTATCCTTAATCCACGTACTTGATTTGCCACTCATTTGATTTTTAAAAGTGGATTTTGATAATACAAACCTCATAATACCAGGAGTAAAAAAAATATCAAATGAGCCATTTTTATGGTAGTTGATATGCAAATTATTAAGTGTGCTTTTGGAGGATAATTTTAAAGTAACAAACTCTACTGATGATTTATATTACCAAGTAGACACGAAAATGCAATAAATTTGTGTTGTAATGAAATCGTGACACGAAGATATCTCAACATTGGGTATATACTAAAATTGTTCTAGCCACATCTTAAAGTTGTTAAAATAGTTGCATGTCCCGTCACAATTCATCAGCCCCTCCTAGGTGGATCCTCTCTGTTGTCACATCGAGAAAATCACTTTGCCACCTCATTGACCTTGTTCGTAAATGTCAGATATTAGTACCAGCAACCAACTACAAATTTTGATAATTGTGTGTTTAGGGTCTATTTTTGTCTCATCAAGTTAAAGAGTCGGACTTGTGGTGTGATTATTTGGAAGAACTGGAAAAAGTGTTTTCCTTTTACATAACAAGCAGGATAAACAAGTGGAAAAAGTGTTTTTGTTTTGCATAAACAAAGTGGGATGCGTACTAAAATTGGAAGAATACAAATTATGAGTGGGATTCGACAGTTTTCCTTTTGAAAATTGTTTTAGGGTCTCTTTTTCTTTCCTGTTGTCCTTTGTTGTAAAATGAAATAAATAATAAATAGTTTTCTACGCACGACTAGCTACCACACCCTTCCTAATTTAGCAAGTATGAATTATGGGGGTGCTTTTGAAAATTGTTTTAGGGTCTGTCATGAAGTCAAAGAGTCCAACTTTGTAATTTAGTAGGAATTATGGGATTCTTTTGAAATTTATTTTTGGGTTTCTTGTCCCTCTTTCATATCTCCTCCACGCTCATTATCTTCTCAATCTGATTCTCTCACTCTTTGTTTCTCAGTCTGATTATTTGATTCTCAATCTGATTCTTCACTCTTTGTTTCTTCCCTCCTTCTCTTTGCAATGGATTCCACGGAAGCTTATTTTGATGACGATGGGTGGAAACAACAAACGAGACGTGCCCGAAAGACCGTAAGGAAGCTGACTAGTCACACTCATGCGAACGACTTATTCGTCATTCTGGATCTGCAAACGATGAAGCTTGATGAGACATTCCAATATCAGTTTCTCAAAGATAACATCATAGATGCCGTGGAGCAAGTGACTAATAAGATATACACGTGCTCTCAGATCAATGTTTATCTAATGTCAGATACTAAGGAATCTGAAGAACATAGACGCAATGTGGAATTTCTGAAAAAGTTTTGTAATCTCGTCGATTGTTACACTAGGAAACTCCGATGTCACGTATGTAAAAGCCTTCCAACAGAGGGACGGAAGAAAAGGCTATCCGAGTTGGAAATGGTGAAGGATTCATGTGATGTTGCCTTAGAGGAAAGAAACAACCGTATGAAGACCGCTTTTTTCATTGCTTCGAATGACCAATTCTTCAATGATGTTCTTGCACAAGATCTCGCTTCACAAGGATTCGAAGTGTTTACCGGTCGAGTTAAGGGGATGGTAAGGAAAAGCATGTATAGATCTGTGGTTTAAGTATAACATTTGGATCGGTTTTGAGGTTTGTCTTGAATTACCAAGCATTATATGACTATATCTCAAGCGTTTGTTATCAAATCTCTTATAGAGAAGTTTATATATAGAATGTTTCAAGACTGTAGTATTGCGTGATTGTTTCAGAAAATGACTGACGTTTATTAATAAATTCATTAGCAAACAACAAATCTCTTTAAATCATTTTTGCTGTCTCAGTTGATGGATGACGTTTTTGCTATAGAGTTTTTGCAATATGAAAAAAGTTGCAGTATCGAGATGCAATTATTTTCACAAGTTATTTCAGAAACTTCTGGTCGGATGTTGAGATCTGGTTTGGGTGGTTGGTCATGACAAGTCCGGTTTACATATCTTTCTTGGAGTGGCACGGCGGTTGAAGGATGAGCGGAGATAATATGTGTAGCCATATATGTAGAAGATTGAATAATCTTGGAACTAATTAATTAGGAGTATTAAAGTCGCTTTTTAGATAGCAACTGATCGATGTTAGAACGAAAACTTCCCATTCTTTATAAATCTCTCTCTCTCTGTGCTCTTCTTCGGGGAATCCACAATTATTCAACATGGAAACGACGTGACTACTTCAATAAACACATGCAGGCAGGATTCATAATTCCAACAAAACTAGGAACGGAGAATTAGAAAGAGGAGCTCACACGATAATAATATATTCTTTAAATAAACACATAAAGATGAGATTAACTAGTAAAATAGATTTCTGTTCAAATAAGCAAAATAGAAATTAAAATAAAACAGAGTTTTGTCCACATCCAAATAAACAACTAGAAACAAATAAATAACCAACAATCAGCCCTCATCTTCCGACCCCTCTCCGGCGCCGGCTTTTACCTTTTGGCGACCAAAAACGTATACTTGTTCTACCCCAGTGCGCTTGTTCGGAATCACTAAAAAGATAATGTGACCTCTCTCCTCCAAATCTTGCAAGGGATTCGGAGACCTCCACGTTGAGTTTACCTGCTATGATCAAATGTGCTAGATTCCGATGGTCGACCAACCATAAAAGCACGTCAACTAACATTCTCTCATGTCTGGCGGCTTTATCATCCCCTGGAAAACATATGACACAGAGATTACATATAAGAAAAGAGAAAGAAAGAGTGTGTTTGGAGATAAAAGAATTCACCTCCGGGAAGGAAGTCGATTTTGGATTCCGGTGTCTTGTTACGCAGAAACTCACCCCAAGACTCTTTCTTCTCATCAACATAGGCGCAGACTGACATTTTAGGACAAACCCCATACTTTGACGTAAAAGCTGATCTGATAGTCATATAGATCTTATCACGAGAACAACCAGCAGGGAATGGGCAATCCTCCAAGTCCCAGAAGACGCCTGTCTCAACCTCTCGGACGGGTGTGATAGGCTCTGCAAGCAAGAGGTTGTTAGGTGATTCATTAACTATCATTCTAGCATAACAGATCCATGAGAACAAGCAATGAAGAGAGGTCTTACCATAAGCAGGCATAGTCTTTCCTCCACCTACAAAATGTGTACGCTCAAATACCGAGTCTGCAGACTTAAAGAGATCATCTTGTGCGGGGTCAGCAGGCGGCTCGACAATGAGAACAGTTTGGTGATATTTCGATTGCAAACACTCAAGAACCCTATTCAACACAGTTTCTGGCTTTTGTCTTGCGATGACCACAAAAACAGATCTACGAGGATACGTGTTTGCGAAACGAATCATGTCCACACACAATTGTGCAGTAATGGACATTTGACCCTCTGAAGGAACAACAGAGATATATATATAAAATTAAATGTATAAATAATCTCGAGTTCATGATTAAGTATAGGAATTCATTCATTCATTCACCTTTTGGTGTGTATGACATACATGCTTCTTTGAACAAGTCAAGGCCGTCGCGGTTCAGTGTGCCACCATGCGCATAGATGTCGAGAAAACCATGAACACCCATACGGTGAAGAGCTAACTTGAGATGGCGATAAATAGACACAAGATCGGCACTTGCGGAGATTGGGTAGTCCTCCAAGTTCCAGAAGAGGCGTGTCTCGGGCCCATAACAAACAGCTTCATACAACAATACAATAGGTGGTGGTTAGATTAGATGATCCACTAATTAACCACTAAAAAGAAACAAACAATTTCGGGTGGTCTTACATGTTTTGATATGGGAGTAATCTGCAGGTCCGTCGGAGTAATAATCTTCGGGGTCGGAGTAACAATCTTCGGTGTCGGAGAAATCGTTGATATAGAGATCTTTGATCTTGGAGGAATATTCAACCTCTTCGCTCATGGTTTCGACTTTGAGAGAGAGAGAGAGAAGCTTTTGAGGAATCAATATAATGCGCCTTAATATAATAGATCAAGGAAATGTTTTTTTAGCCCTTGGATCTCAAAGGAAAAAATATGGGTGTTAGGTTTTCAACCGTCGGATCTTTACCTTTTTTATTATTTTTTTTGGTAAACAAAATTTTATGAAATCAATTTTGTCGGATTTCAATTGGCTTACTCCACGTTTTCCTTTTTCATCCGTATCTTTTCTGGTTGGAACATATTTTTCTTTCATCATATTTGTCAAGTTTGGGGCGAATTTCTTATCACAAACCAAACTCCTTTGGAGGTCTCTTTCTGGTTTCAAAGCCTTCTTACTGGTTTGGTCTCTGAAGAGAAACTAGAGTTTATAGATGGAATGTATTTGCTAAACCTCTTTAGCATGTGTTTGCCAATTGTGATCAAGTATATGTGTAATTCATCTCGTGGAGTGACTCGGGGTTAACATGGTTTTCCAGTAACGATGTGGATCAAGTATATATATATATGGAAATCTGAGTTCAGAGAGACACTTTTAACATCGAATTAGTAACCACCAGTGTTGTTCTTTTCCAAGTTCCCGATTTAATCTTTTAGCTAAAAATCTCAACAGATATATTCTTGTACTGAAACTCGTCAAAGTTTTCTTTTACATCCATATTGAAAGTGAAAAACGAAGAAGAATATTTACTCAGGTAAGAAGTCTGCATGAA